TGTTCCTCTCACCAACGTGCCCGTGTTGAAGTCTGCCCCAATCACCACTCTCTCCCCTCTGGGAATACTCTCCATCACCTCATCTAACTCACTCCAGAATCTCTCCTTCTCTTCTAACTCACACCCTACTTGTGGAGCATAACCACTGACTACATTCAACATTACCCCTTCAATTTCCAACTTCAAACTGATCACCCTGTTTGACACTCTATTCACCTCTAAAACATTCCTCATGAGCTCCTCCTTCAGGATCACTCCTACCCCATTTGTTTTCCTATACACACCATAATAAGTTTGTATCCCCCTCCAATATTATGCACTTTGCTACCCTTCCACCTGGTCTCCTGCACACACAGTATATCTACCTTCCTTCTCTCCATCATGTCCGCCAGCTCTCTACCTTTCTGTCATTGTGCCAACATTAAGAGTCCCTATTCTCAGACCTATAGTCCTGCCTTTCCTATTCTCTGTCTACGAATCAATCTGGGATGGAATTCACACTGAACGATTCACATGTTTAAATTTGGCATATTTTTAAGCCGGACGCCCTTCCTGACGCAAGGGCTCTATTACTGGTTAATAAACTATTGATATAATCTTTGCCAGTTGGTGAATAATCATCCTTTAGCACAGCTGAACACATGTTAGCTGAACATCATTTCCTCTCAACCAAACCTGACTTGGTATAATTAGAAATCCTTATGAAATATTACATTAACAGAAGTGAACAAAAACATTTGTAAAATTTGCAACTCATCACTAAAGATTAAAACCTGAGTACAACATTTCCTCAATATGTTATATTCAAACTCTCAGACCCAGGAGAAACCCCAATTAATGACATATTTAAATATGCATTTAGCTTTTAGTTGATTTCAGTATAAATTACCTTTGAGGGGCAACCATCCACAGTGCCAGCTTTGACAAAGGTTTATAAGTGGTGCATGCCCACTCGTCGAATTTCTAATAAAAATGACACCAACAGGTCCCTGGTGGTTTTACAATAGAATAATTGATTTATTTGAACAGAATGTCATAGTTGGTGTCAAACTTGGTTATGGTTTTAGACACTAGGGTAAATATCTGCTATCAGCAAAAATACACTAGCAGTTCATCAAATTATTTCATACAGTTTTAATTAACTAGTGTTTAAAAGCATTTTTATTACAGTCAGAATCGCAAACAACTGCTTTAAAACATACAAAACTTCACTGGCAACTGCCTGAGCTCCTGGGTTTGTCTCAGTGTTTCATTCTTGCCAGTCGCTCCTGATCCACTGCAGATTCCAAGGCTAGAACCATGTCTGTGGAGGGCAGATGGGACTGATTAATCAAGATAAAACATGTATCCACACTTAAGTTGGTCTTTTTTCTTTTATCCAATGCCTAATTAATAATTGTATTTAAGTTTTGATGAACTCTTCAAACAAGGTAATCGGTTGTAGTCTCCATAGTTTTGGCAAATGTTTATGTAAAATCTTCAACTAGTGCAACGCTTTTAAACTAATGCTGGAAATTCCATGAAAGTAACTGTGGCATTTGCTGTGTAATGTTCAAATACACAGCCCAAGAAGGGTAAATCATGTAGAGCATAGTACTAAACTCCCAAATCAAGCTGCTGTACAAACCCAGTAACTTCCGCGAATAGTCCACCAAGTTGGGAAGTCCTGTCTCAATGTTGTACGACATTGCTGTGACAATTTCATCTGCCCTCTGAGAAACAAAAATGACAAAGGTGTGAGGACTTATTTTTTTTTTTTTTTTTTTATAAATGGTGTTACAACTTGTGCTGTAAAGAAGAGCAGGTTTAACAAAACTATACCTGCAGCTCTACATAAACTTTCTCCTCTAGTTCTGCCACCTGGGATATGGCATCATATACACTTGTATCCACAGCAGATTCCTAGAAGATGTAAACGTGAACAATACATAACAAAATTATACACAGAATAATTATACTAGTTATGATTTTTTTGACTCCTCTTGTGCAACCTGACCTCCTCTGAGGAGTCATCGGTAGGCTCTGTGTTGGCCTTTGTTGCTCCAGTTGCCTTGGATTTTCCATTGAGTTCTTTTACTCTGCAGAAAGGGCAAAATGTTTCAACCTTTATCTTCTATGGCATGGTATTCTTTTCATAGTAAAATTCAGCATTTCTAGTACAAAAACAAAATAAATAAAAGTCAGAATCAAGTTGAACATGTACCTGTCAGCATAACGTAGGGTATTCATTGTATACTCGCATGAAGCCATGCCTGGAGACACCATTGCAATCTATGGAAAACAAGGAGAGAAAATGTGTGGACATACACTGTACATAAATCCTGTACTTAAACACACACTTGCATCATAGTTGGTGCTTGTTTGATGCACATCTGCATCATCCACTGTAATGTAACCAGACCATGACACACCACATACCACAAACTAAGCCAAATCTGGTGTTTAACATACCATGCAGGTCCTAGACTTCTCTCCAATAAAGGAGTCCCTGAGGACTTTTGTCAAAGTGCTCATGCGAAATGGGATGTGTTCGCTGTTTTTCCCTAATGAACGAATGCATTCCTACAGGACATAAAGAGGACACAGGTGTGTTAGATGTGATTCAACATCCTTTTAAGTTATATGGATGCTTATTTCATATTTGGACAGTATCCTGACAAAGTTAACTGCTAAACATTTTATTCTTTTTAGAGAGCCGGGGTTACTCTAGAGCAAAACCTCACTTTGCAGCCACATCTACTTATTTATCCGACGTGCGCTGGCCTTCACCATAATCTACCTTGAGAGCCAGCAGGCTGCGGTTAATTTCTGCAGTTTCCACCAGAGTGCTGCGGTCACTGCTACTGACATCTGTGCCACGCTCGTTGCCGGCCAAATCGACCAATGAAAATTTGCCATGCAATGTGGCAGCACGGTTATTGCATCGTAGCGCAATCTGAAGGACCGCATGGGAGCGGGATGAGTTGGCGTTGGCTGAAGTCTGGCCTGAGGTTCTGGAAAAGACAGTGGAACAGAAGGAAAAGGTAAGCAGCCACATTAAAAGTATATACACACACACGCACGTTTTTTTAGATGGACAACAGAAAAACTGGGTTGCTATGTAAAAGCAACAAACATGATATATCTTAGTACTATCAGTCAACATTTTGTTTATAAAGACTAATGAAAGTTAAGTTTGAAAATCATTCATGTTCTGGACGCAAATACCTGCAAGCGCTGCCCGCCTGTATCATCTTGATGACCTCTTCCGTTGTGGTCACGTGGACCTCCTCCAGGCCCACCACCTGAACCTGCTGTCGGTCGTCCTCCATTACACGGAGCTTGGCCTTTTTGTTCAGCAGATCGTACACCTAAAATCAATAAATGCATTCACTTTAAGGATGACTTGATAAATGCAGATTTTTTTTTCAGACAAATATTTTAATAAACACATTCATGGAGGCAGAGCAAGACATTTTTCTTACTTTGCCATTGTAAATCTCAAAGAAGCTGACGTAGGCTGAGAGATCGAGGTTAGCATACCTCCTGTGGTGGAGATAGGTGAAAACGTCCTGGGCTAAAGGGAAACGAGTCAAGCATTTATTCAAATTTAAAGTTCTCATGTAACTTTAACATAATAATGGACAACACTTGGTTTAAAGAATCAAGCAGTAGTACTACCCTGAATAAGTGGAGACATTTACATACAATATGGGGAAAAAAACAAAGAAAATAAACTTTAATTGACTGATTATATTGACAAATTTGTGGCCGATTTGGGTCCTACCTGCCAATGCATAGATCCCTTTGGCACTATTCTGCTGCCTTCCTGTGAAACCCCCCCCCATCGTCTAGGGAGAAGATGACAAATCAGTGGGTGTGCATAAAGCACAATACAGAGATTAGAATTTCTGGGGAAACTCTCTGTAGGTCCCTGCGAAAGAAAAGTCTACAGACACCTTAAAAGCCAGAATGTTTTTTTAGAAAACATGCAAAATAGTTACTCATTTCCATCTACAGTGTACTAAAAAGGTATTGAAATCACTGACTCTAGACAATTCAACCACAGACTTACATGGGTTTTTCCACTTCCAGTTTGGCCATAGGCAAAACATGTTGCCATGCAACCTTCGAAAATGGACTGCACCAAAGGCTTGGCTGTGAAACTACAGTTAAAATAAATAAAAATCTGTCAAACTCCAGTCCTGCCAAATCTTACAATACACAAAGCAGAATAGTGTTTTATGAAAGGTACACCTGGAATTTCCAAAATTGTACTCCTCACCAATATTGTACACACTTATAATAAATACTGCTATGTGGACTTGCAAATACTTATTCAAAATTTTGATTGGGAAAACGGCAAGTTAAACACTAGACTAATGGCAAAGTGAGCGCATTAATCATATCCTGCAGGAAGAAATCATTAGTAAGAAAACTGGCACTTAGTGTTTGATCCAGATTGCTACAAAGACATTCAAAATGACATTACTGGTAGACCAGGTCATTGGTGGCGGTCTCGTCAAAGGAGAAGTCAAAGTGGAAGGTTTGGTTGTCTAGGTACTTGGTGAGGTCGACCTTCTGTTTTGGCTCATGGACCAACAGTGCACCCTTTCCAGGTACAGACACAACATCTATCTCCTTCTTATTGATCTCTGGAATACACAGGCATGTCAGAGTCACCACCGAAACACTTACAATGGGTAACATTTTGCACACACAACAAATCTTACTTTTACATTTATCTTCAGATACTGTATAGTGTACCTTGTTTATTAAGGGGTCGCTTGCGAACACATACACAAATCTTGGGAGGTTGAATCTGTAAAATGATGTGAGAAAACAAGTGTGGATTGTTATAACACAGCCACATACAGCATCATACATTGCACATAGTTCAAGAGTCCAAGCATACCTGGTCAGTGACAGATATGGGGGTGATTTCCAAGGTCTCTCTAAACTCTTGGATCATATCGTAGAACTTTTGGTTTGGCTGAAAAGCTTCTCCAAACTAAACAGAGAAAGAAGCAAAGGGAGTGCAAATGAAGAATGAAAAGGAAGTTTTTCATATCTAAAATGGTTTGGACAGTCATGTTTACAGTTTAAAAAGATAAAAATACCAGGCTGAGCTAAAGAACCTCACCTTTCCCCTTTTGGGTTGCATTTCAGGGGGTTTCATAACACAAGACTGCCTTTTGTTGCCTTTAACCATCTCTGGGGCAGCCACAGATTTTCTTCTACCTGAGGTGCATAAAGATAACAATTTTGTTGTTTAAATGACCTGACATCTCACTGATATGATAGGTCAGTGTACAATTTGTTACTGACTTTTGGCTGCAGGTGGAGGAGGCATTCTCTCAGGTTCGTTTTCCGTTATAGCATCACAGACTAAAGCCTGCGGCTGTGCTGGTTTGGCCTCTTTCTTTCTGTGCTGCTGATTCACATTCGCTGGAAGCAGGAGAACACACTTCAGATTATAACAATAATTTATTTAAAATTAATAAACAAAGCACAAATATTAAATTGTACAGATAAAATACCTGAAAATCTACTGTTAAACATGCAGCAACATGTCATATTACCAGTGTGTGATGCGACTGTGGTCAATGACAATGTGTAAACTAGGCTGGACTCAACGCTACCCATCACTAAAAACACCACTCAGATGTTTAATCAAACAAATATGTGGGAAACTGTAGTTTCAAAATTTTCCCTTTTGTTTTCAGAAGACTACTACCAACCAGAGTTTATGAGGACTGATGAAGATGGGAGATCAGGGCGGACTGTCTCCGGGTTTGCCTGAGACTCAGAGGTCAACACCGGTGCTCGAAGAGGGGCTGGAGGCTGGAACACAGACGTCTGCCTGGCCTGAGACCGTTTGGCAACTGAAACTAAGACAAATCTATGTCAAACAGCTGCACAGATGAGTCTCAAAATCTTGAAGCAAGTATTGAAAAGCATGGCTAGCACCACTAAAACCCATGCATAATGGAATAATAAACTACACATGGCTATTTAGTCCTAAAAAAAAAGAGAAACATTCTGGAGACCCTGAGTGACAGAGTTAAAGAAACAGACAAGCAGAAGCTGAAATGTAGCAGCTGATTAAGCATCTGATCATATTTGACAATGAAAGTATTACAGAGTGAAAGTCAACAAAGTTAATTACAGCCATCTTTTGGGGAGGGGGGGGGCATTGCTCACTCAGTCTTAAATTTATAAAAGATACCAGTACATATTTAGTACACTCCTTTCCCCACTTCTCAGTACAGTATACAATTTCTTCACAGCCAGAATTTAGACATTAATAAACAAAAACATTGTCTATTAATTGTCAAAAACGTGTTGTGCACCCTGAATTACCCAACACAACAATATGCCCATTCGCATCCCCGTGCCAGTTGTCATTAAAGCAAAGCAGATGATTACTTATATGTAATCAATGACCAGGGCTGAGCCCTACAAAATACAGCTGATTTGTGCTTTAGGGGGGAGGAGCATGCATGTCTTGCCAACCTGACTCTTCAGCCTTGGGCAAAGCTGGAGTAGAGGCTTTTGGAAGAAAACAAGCTGTTAAGTGACAGAATAATGCACATGATACTCTAAGACAAAATGGGACAATTCATTTACGTACAGGTGGAAGGCCAAGGAATCCTAGACGAACGCAGTCGACCCTCATACTTCTGTGGAAGAGACGGAAACGGGAGAAGTTGCTCACTCACTTGCACATATTCATCAATATTGAGTGTTAACTGAGATTACTTTGCTCTTCTTTGGGGAAAAAAGCCCATTTGACAAAACAAGAAAGCAATTCTGATAAAATGCTCCAATTAGAATTGCGGGATTAAACATAGAAATTCTTTTTAAAAATAATAAGATTAAACATTAATATGTGGAAAAGTAGGGTACCTTGTCAGGAACAGGAGCTGGCTGATCAGTTTGTTTGTTGGAGGCAGAGTTTACATAGTCCAGCAACTCTGGATTAAGTGCACACAATTCGCCCACTGAAACCTAAGCCACAAACACACCCACCCCACAGGAGACATGCAGTAACAAAATTGATTTAGACGTCAACTTGCAACACATCAAGTATAGAGAATATTTCAAAAGACTTTAATGATGGTTGTTTAGGAGATGACTGGTTCACTGTGCAACAAAAGTCTTTACTCTATTTGTGGACTTAATGCTACTGACCTCCTTCCCTTGGCATAAGTTTCTCTCATACCACTCTACCGTGGCCGTGGATTTGACGGTGTCAAAAGATTTTACCGTAGCCGCATGCACTCGACCTGGATTACACATAACCAAACGCCAAATCACATTTTATCAATGACGGACAATGATTTGAATTAGCTTCAGTACGCGTATATAAACAAATATCAACTCACCATCACTGCGACCGATCTGTAGAGATAGTCCAACCAGAAGTCTCGACAAGTTGCTCTCCATTTTGATTTCTTCTCACTGCTTTAATAGAAAAACCAAAATACAGGAAACGTTTAAGTTTTGTTAACGAGTTTACTGTCGCGCCAGCGAATGCGCCCTTATTGCTATTAAACCATAATCCACTTTTCGCTGACAAATGAACTAATACGTAACCACACTATTCTATTACTGTATTGTGAACAACGCCATCTCCTTCTTACTAACGGCAAACTCACACTCATACCGTTCAACATTCAAACTGGTGTTATTTCCGGTTTTTAAGCATCTGATTGGTCGACATCAAGCTCACGTTTGCGTCATTCTTCTTCTACGAGGTCTTAGGTAAAAGTGAAATTGGTGTTATACCGCCACAGCCTGGAAAAATCAGAAATTACCATTACAATGAAGTCAGTTGAAACTTTAAACAATCCGGAACGTTTTATGTGTAGGCCCACTAGAAATCGTTTTGAGAAGACTATTACATTTTGTGACAAGACTACATTTCCGCAGCATTTAGTGAAGCACATGTTTTACTATATTACACTACTTTGATGTTTTATTCACGACTTTGCACCAAGAGATTACATAATCCAAAACATGATGATCTAGTCATATTTTAAGCACTGTTAAGACCTTATAGACTACATTTTTTGTGCATGACCATTTTCTGAAAGTAATTTATTTTTACTGAATGTAAAAAACTGCAATCTGTGAAATTGTATTTTTTATTAATTTTTAATGAATTGTGGTCAGGCAATATAACAACAACAACAATAATAATAATATTAGGAATGAGCACATCAGAGGGACAGCTCAGGTCAGCTGTTTTGGAGACAAGGTCAAAGAGGCCAGATTGAGATGGTTTGGACATGTGCAGAGGAGGGATAGTGGTTATATTGGTAGAAGAATGTTAAAGATGGAGCTGCCAGGCAAGAGGTCAAGAGGAAGGCCAAAAGAGGAGATATATGGATGTGCTAAAAGAGGACATGAAGTTAATTGGGGTGAGAGTAGAGGATGCTGAGGATAGCGTTAGGTGGAAACAGATGATTCGCTGTGGCGACCCCTAACGGGAACAGGCAAAGTAATAATAATAATTATTATTATTATTATTCATCCAATATCTTTATTGCTTATCCTAACGAAGGTCACGGGTCAATCCCAGCTGAAGCCTGGACAGGTTGCCAGTCTATCACAGGGGTGACACTTAAAAACAGACACCACACACACAGGCAATTTAGAGTCGCCAATCAATCTAAGATCCACGTCTTTGGACTGTGGGAGGAAGCCGGAGTACCCAGAAAGAACCCACACAGGCACAGGTAGAACATGCAAACTCCACACAGAAAGGCCATGGGTTGGCTGGGGCTTGAACCCAGAACCTTCCTGCTGTGAGAGGACAGTACTAATCACTGTGTCACTTGGCTTCCTATTATTATCATTATTCATATTTCAAATTTAAAAAACACTGTTGATTAATATTTAGTTAGGCAATACTATATCTGTATCTTTTTAATATCATAGATTATAGGTAATTTAGCACAATTTTGCAAATCAATCAGCAGAACTGCTTAATGATGATATAATATTCATAAGACTCCTGCACCAATGTAATAATGTACAATTTTTTTTCATGTATTATAGTCATTGGATTAGCATTCCCATCAAATTTCCATTTGTTTTATAAATCCATAAATAGTTTCTTGATAAAATGTCTGAGAACATATCACAAACATATCTTAATGATGTTATGATAGAGCAGACTCAAATATACCCCAAAATATGCACCCAGCATGAACTAAAGAAGTAATTTGCTATAATACAGCAGACAAAAGTTTAATAACTTGCATACTCCACCTCTCAAGGCCAGTGGGGCTGGCCTGAGGGGTGTGAGAATGGATGGACTTACTGAGTGGAGGAAAAGCAGGGACAAGTGCTTGCAGTAGAGAGCACTGAAGGGGAGAGGAGGGTTTGAGGGAGAGAGGAGAGTTTAGGAGTTTGGGAGATGAGAGGAAAAGAAGGAGGAGAATACCACCCACTAAGCCGGTCGTGCAGATTTTCTGGGGGTTGGGCTGCTCACAGGAAACAGTTGTGGCTCCATCCCAGGCCTCACACCGAGCAGCCCTGGGCCACCCAGTCTTCGACAGCCAGACCTACCAAATGGCCTGGCCGGGCCAACCAACAGGGATTTGTTTATTTTGCATTCATCGGTGGTGGGGGAGAACATTGTTCAGCACATACTGTTTATCAGACATTTGATTTGTCATGTGTCAGTGTTCACTTGTGGGGAATGTTTATACATAAGCCCAGCTTGCATATAGTTAATGAGAGGGTATGGGCACAGAGGATTGGAGAGACTAGGGGGCAAAAAGAAAAGAGTAAAAATGGGGAAGCTTCCCATGCTGAACTGCATTATAGGTCTTTCTCCAGCTGTCCTTGATTGTAGGCATGCTGTGCCTGGGGTGCAGTGAGTGTGAGGAAGAGACTCCTGTAGTTACATGGATGAAATACAGTAGACTAAATGGATGAGTGTTTAGAAGAATATGGCAACTGTAGACTGATCAGGAAACAGCCCTGGGGCCATGAATTCACAGTATGTATGTACTGTATGTAATATCACACTAGACATAGCTGTATGTAGTTGTCACCACATCATTATAGAAGAGCGGACATTTACATGCTGTTACGTCACTTTGAATCTCATTGGTAATTTGATCAAATATAAGTAAATCAGTTTGTCTCCTCTGCTAAAATCATGTTAAACTTTGTACAAGTGTGCTATATATTTGTGTTCTATAATTGCAGCAAGTGTCTCTTTTATACTTGTGTGTATGTGTGTGTTCATTCTATATTTCCTAAAAGTTTGGAATCATGATTCAGACAGTGAGAAAGATCAATTTTATAATGTCACATACTGTTGCTGAACCTCCGGGGCCTTTCCTCAGACACACTGTGCATGAAAATGAACAGACAGCTCCATTACTCATTTGTTTGCTTGCACTGAAAAGGTTGAGATATTTTGCTGAGAAAAAACTCAGTAGACTGAAAGTTGGCCTTGTGGTTGCAAGCCTTACCTTTTAAACATACATTTTTATGGTCATTACCATGCTGTGTGGATATTTCAGTCATGAAAAATAATCAGCAACGTTTCAATGTGTGCTGGTTTCTCAGTCTGGAGACTTGGTAGTGGTGGTGGCTGATCTGAGGAAGGAGAGGGTCTTGTATCTGTTGGCCACAAGTCTATTTAACTGCTCTCCTTTTTCCAGCTGTCCAGCAGCATATTTTCTCTGTGTATAGAGAATTGGCAGTGGCCATGACTCTGTACCCCTATACAGACTAAATAAATACACATGCGTTCAGTATGTGAGCTGAGCACACTTACAAATCACCTGAAGTTTGACAGACTTGAAGAGGAGCAGAGAGGACAAAAGAAGAAAAACAGAGATTGTAGATGAGTACTGTCAAACTATTGGTTTCTCTCCTTTTCTGTAAATTTCTTTTGGTTTCAGTCATAGAAATTTGTTTTAATTACACAATTCTCTAACATACTCATTGGTTATCCATACTTTATATCTTGAGAATGACTTTAGTATATAATGCCTCTGAAAGGGATCATATATTTTGGGCCATGCATTTTTGCTTATGGAGCAACTTTAGAGATTTGATAACCCCTCCTCAATCATCACTGTAATATTAGAGTGTCTTCTTAGTTTTACCCTGACGTATGTTGCATTATAGTACATGGCCAGCAGAGAGCAATATAGCTAAACACAAACAGCAGTATACAGCCAATTACAGCAAACTCTGGGCCTGGAAGTAAGAGCACTACTGTAATAGGGCTACTTGACATGTGAACCAGTATTAGAAGTGTGCTTTTCTGTAGTGTTAACCAATAGACCATCTGGTTTGATATACTGCTTCATAACTGAACTTACTGTAGTGCGCATCCAGTCTAGCGACAGCAGGGATTTAGGACTTCTCCAGCCAAAGAGCCAAACTGAGTAAATACTGAGCAAGTCTGGAACTTTAACTCATTAAAGCATATTAGTATTCTTGGCATGTGGTGATCTTCTGAAACATTCCAGTGACCCATTTTGGTTTCCGGCCCATCATTAAAAATAAATAAATATATACATAAAACCCTGCCGTATAGACTAAGCTGAGAATTCAACCACATCATTTCAAGTGGTGAACTTGTTTGGTAAGCAGCAGTTTATTCACCTTTGAGCTGTGCCACACTGCCACAGCCCTGTGCCAACAGCTGAATAAGTTTGCTCAGCTGGTAAATTTTGTTTGTTTCTTCAACTATAATTTTGTTTATTTATTTGGTTTCTGCACTTAAAAGTGGTCAGAGTACTACACACAGCTACACTGAGGGAATGATGTGTCTGTCCACGGGCTGGGTACAGCTACGGTACCACATCGCTTCATTAATAGCAATCAGATGAAATACTTTCATATCAATAGATAACTGATTTACAGCAATACATTTCACATACCAGGCTATCCCAGCTATTACTTCCTGTAATCGACTTTGGTTGGATGAATCAAGGCTGGTAAAACCACGGCCCATTATGAAATCTGCCACCAATCCACCTCTCTCACCCCAACTTAGTTTCCTGTCAGCAGCACAAATCACATTTTGTGACTGAACAGTATTTTTTATAAACATATTGTTTTTGTAGTTCAGGTGTTCTATCGTTTTGTTGTTACCACGCCCCCTGTTGGTGAGACTATACTGCAGATGTTGAAGGACACAATGGAAACAAATTAAAATACATTTTCATCACTGTGTATGTCCAGGGCTAGCATGTCAGTCACTATTAAATATATGAATGTTACCTTTTTTGGACATGCACTGTAATTTATTATCTAAAGTAGAACAACATTTTCCAAACTTGCTTGAGCAATATGTACAATGCACCACTTGCATGCAGCAAAAAAACAAAAAACAAAAACCTAACAAGATCAAGAACCAGTTACAAAAGTGACAACACAAATATTAACATTTATGACAAATAACTAGACACATAGAGCACTCCTAGGGCATTTTAGGGCATTAAGCTCATGCAAGCCACAGAACTGGAATACCATTAATATTGCTGCTTCACACCCACACACACGTTTAGTGCAGCACTTGGTTTCTCCATTTGGTCTGCAGTAACTATTCCACAGGACCATTTTGTCACTTTGCCTGTTGGTCTTTATCACTTTTCCATTTTGTACTATACAAACACAGAGGTTACTTCACTGCAA